CTGGCTACCAGCCAGGCTCTGAGAAGCATGATCGTTGCTGCTGCAGCCCCAGGATCTCAGGTAAGGCTGCTGGGGACAGCCCAGTGCTGGCTCCAGCCTCCCCTACCCCACCTGGGGTAACTTGCTGCACACCAGAGGGTGCGTGGCACAGGTGTTCCCTGGGGACAAATAGCAGTGGCACAACATGTGTCGCTGCTTGTTGTCCTTAGGGAAACAAACATCTACTTGTGTAGATGTGGCTGTAAAGGGCTTGGCAGTAGAAGCCAGCTGTGCTGAAAACCAGTGTTAATGGGCTCTGATTTAATTTTCTAGAAGCTGTGGACAGAGAAATGGACTTTTTTCACTCCTGTGGATTTGAAAAGAAGATATGAATGGGGCAATTAGTTATTAGGGTAACAAGGATCAAAGGTTTTTCTAGTCAAAGTCTGGGATTTGGTGTATTCCGTCCCAGACAGTGGAGCCCTGATAGGGCAGATGTCTCTACTGCATATTGCACCATAGTGTAGGTCAGTGGTTCTCGACCTTTTTAGACTTGAGGCAGCCCTCAAAAATGCTGGCTCTTAGTTTCAAATTTTTTGGACTACAGAAAAATAATACATCAGTCTTTTTGTGTTATAACAAGGTTGGAAAGACCACAACTATGGATTTTTATTTGAAATCCCTGGGTTTACATTGTGGATCATGTTATCATGTTTGCGCACCTAACGGCGCTAATATTGTCACACCCCACAGAAGCCTTGAAAGGATCTGAAGGCACCCCAGGGTGCTGTGTCACCCTCTTTGAGAATCACTAGTTTAAATGTACCTGAGCTAGCCTGTTTAGCTGAGATAGCTGTGCATATAAGCATCTAATCCCATTGTTCCTATGGAGGCCTATGTGATGCAAAGCCTCAGGCTAGTACCTAATTGCAGCACACCCACATGTTGCCTAATTAACAGTAGATCAGATCAAATCCCAAATGAAACCACACCCAGGCTAATGCTTCATTGCTGTTCTCAGTTGGCCACTGGGATCCAAAAGCTGATGGTGGATTGTCAGGGTGCATTTGGTATAGGAGAAGGGGCTGCTGGAGGGGGGTGTCTCACTTGGGTGTGAATGGGGCTGTGCCACTGTTCCTTGGAGTTTGGACTGTGCTTTGAACACTGAAGTTACCCCTATTGCTCACTGTTCTGGTCAGGCAGAAGGGCTGCAGCAGGTAACACACCTACGTTCTGGGATTGCCAGCAGCAGAAGTAGGAACCAGGAGATACAAAGACCGTCCCTTTTTGTCTCCTACCAACAAGCAGTTCATACAGACTGTTTTAGCAGTCTTTAGATTCCACTCCCCCGCCCCCAGCCATTGGCTCTGGATACTTCTGCTTTTTGAAGATCATAATGCTGCCTCTGGCTTTCTTTCTTCAGATCCAGAACAAGCAGCTAATGGCTTGTCTGCTGCCTTAGCACTGCACAGGATGGGGAAACAAGGTGCCGGGGGAGGCTGAGAACAGGCTTGTCTAAGGAGCAGGCTTTAGTGCTTCCCTCCTCCTAGACAGGAATAACTTAGCAGCTGTGAGCAGCACCTCTTGTTAATGCAGAATTAACAGCACTTCCCTTCCCCCACCACCCACCTCAATCACTATAAAGGGATTATGTGATGCGGTTCCAGAGGGATGGACCCAAAACCCTGTTTCCCACCCTGCTTTTACTTTGCATCTCTCCAAACAGCTCTCGGTAGCTGCATTGTACAGGATCCAGCCTTGTGCAGATGCTGTGAGTATCGGCCTCCTCACTCCATTGCCATTTACAAGGGATAGGCAGCACGTAACATTACTTATTCATTCATCTGTATGACATCCTTCATCTCTGACAAAGCACTTATCAGAGGATGGTACCAACTTCTGTGGCTGCTACAGAGTAAACACTGGGTTGGGCTTCAGAGCACCTGCTTCATTTATTTTAGTTTCCATAACCATACAATAGCCTTTTTCTTTGCCTTACTGTTGGTTTCCAGGTTAGTTTCTCTTGCAGTGCTCTCCTCTATATTGTGTTTCAGTGAAGATGCAATCTAATGATTGTAGCAGCCCATTTCCTCACAGGAAGTATTTTTCCTTTGGCAAAAAGGGCAAAAGAGATGCAGAATAATATCTGCTTGTTCAGTGATTAGATAGGATTTGAAGGTATATTGATGCTTTCCTGCCTGTCACTAAACCTTGAATCTGTGAATCTCCCTGTTTTTCTTCCTTTTTTGCAAACCATAAACTAAGCTTTGCAGCCTTCCTCTGAGGAGGTAGGTGACACCTTACAGACTAGCTGGTTCAGAGAAGCATGGGCTTTTCGAGGCAACAGCCTGTTCTGTCAGATGCTATAGAAGGGCAGGCCAAGGAAAGATTGCACACATCCAGGAGTGGATCCAGAGGGAGTGTGGCAGCGTGGTTGCACCCACCTTTGGGCTGTGTCATGTGAGCTCTCAGTGCAGGGTCTGCCAGGAGTCATGGCTTTCATGCTGCTCTGGAGCCCAGCAGGTGAGTGCTGCCTTTGCCATGCCACTCAGTGGGGAGGGTGAGAGGGAGGAGCAGCAGCAGCACTGATGCTCTGGGTTCTGAAGATGCATAAAAGTAAGGGCTGTGGTTGGACCCTTCGTAGATCAGCTGGAGAGCTCACAGCTCATGCAGAGCTCTGACAGGAGCTCATTCTGACAGGGCAGTGAGCTTTGAACTTTCTGTCCACAGCCAAAGGGAGCACACTGGCCCCCATGCCTCATGCATGGACCTGCTACTGCACACACTCGCAGTTTACACATGGTGAATCAGAGATGCATGAAAGGCTAAGAGACTTGTCCAGGGTCTTATCATCAGATGATCAGTCTGAAGTCTGTACAAGCAAACGGCAGACTCCCTGCCCAGTGCTGTGACTACAAAGGCTGCTTCTCTCAGGTGTTGCCTGGTCATAGCAGCTGCATTGTAAAAATCCTAGTAACTGCTCTGCAGTGGAATAGCTTCCTCTCTTAACCATAGTTGTGACTAATGTGCATTCCAAATTCATTAACAGAGGTTGGCTCTGTCTTTGTACAAGCAAACTTGCTTTTTTTGGCCAAGCTGGGGGTGGAGCACTGTGTGAGAAAAGAAAAAAGGCCATGGCGCATTTCTGGGAACAGCAGGGTTTTGATGCTTCCCATTGCTAAGTCAGTTCTTTTAGGGCGTAGCTGCCGTGTAGGGCCTGCATGTTTACTACAGTCTCTTTCAGTACTTGGTGCCGCAGTCTGAGTTTTCACACGTGGCTTTCTGTAAAGTAGCAATTCCACAGTGTGGCAGCTGAGTGCTCAGTTGTCTGTTTCTATATATTCCTGCTGTTGCCACACATTTTAACAAGGAACAAGAAGAGGGAGAGATAGCAGAGTGATTCATTCCCTTAGGGAGTGTGGAGGGGTAAGAACTACAGCAGACAGACAGAGAAAGAGACAGCATCCCTGAGGCAGCAGTATGGTTAGGAAGAAGCAGTTCAGAACCTCTTTTGCTCTGTGCCCTCGAGTCAAAGGTGTTGGTCACTCATGACTTGTAATAGTGAGACATGGTTACAGAGTCAGTGTTTGTACTGAAGAGATGTCATTTCAACACAGGACAAAATTTGTATTCTCATATCATTTGGGTGGTCTCAGGAGAAGGGTAGCACACTATAGATGCCTTAAAAGAACATAAGGCATGGACCAACTGAAGATGTACTTGCCACATCATCGATTAAGATGCCTTTTTTTAAATAGAGACACCACAGCACTTTCTGTATCTGACTAGCACAGAAACATGCCCTCCAGATTTAATGAATCACCTTCTGTCTTTTTCAACACTGCTCATCACTTCCTGAGGTCAAAAATAAGACATGGATGATAACTGCAAGGAGACATCATTCAAGGGTTGAATGTTGTTTTCCATTCTCTTTCAGATCAATGAGTTAAGCAATGTTCCTGTCCCTGTGATGCTAATGCCAGATGACTTTAAAGCCTACAGTAAGATTAAGGTGGACAATCATCTGTTCAACAAGTAAGTCAGTGCAGTTTCACGTCTTGTTTATGCATTTTGTCTGTTTAAAAAAAAAAAAAAGCCTTTTGCTCTAGGTCAGGTTTTGCAGATGGCGACCCGGTAAGCTCCTTCCCATGCACAGAGCATCCCTCATGATTAGATAAATGCCCATGTAAGGGAGATGCCCAGACTGCTAAGCAAGAAAACAGGTATTTTGTCCATCAGTACCACACTGTCCTGTGGTCTTGCTTCTGTAATTGAAGCATGGCAACTGTGGCAAAAAGCCACCTTGGTTTCTCCCCAAAAATCTCTGCCCTGTGACACTGTGATTTAAATCTCTGTGCTGTGACCATTCAGTTAGGATGGGCCCAGCACACGGGACCACACCCTCAGCCTGTCTCTTTAGGGAACTTGAGTTGGCTGCATTCCTGAGGGAGGGGGGAAACCTGCTCCCTCTGCTTACATGACTTGCATCACTTACCTGGGTAAGGGGTTTCTACCTGGGGAGCTGGAATCTGCCTGGTAACAAATTGGTTGGCTGACAGCCAACTGGGGCTGACCTCCGCTGGCCCAGGTGAATGAGGTCACAGGGGCTATATAAGTTAGGACGGGGAAGGAGGCGGT